TACTCGCGTGAACATGAGGCAAAGATGCAACAACTTGAAGCAGAGGGCAATGAAGGAAAAAGAAGAGTTAAAAACTCAGTCAGGAAGAAAGTAAAGCTTGGTCGAGTGGGTTCTATTATGACATATAAATCCAACTATTCTATATTTTACTCATATGAAATGTACGCCGCTCAGAACTATAACGCCAACAGTTTTGGATGCTATGAATGGAAATGTTTCCGAATGGTATAACGAATGCGACAATGCCATTAGAAGGTCAGAAATAGTTCCTGGAACTTACGAATATACAACTGCTGTTTCTTATGGAAACGTAGGTGAGTTTGGAGAAGGTTCTTCAACAACAGTAGATATGCTTGCGACAGGTTTCATATAATTTCTATTGACAACTCTTTCTTATACGTGGAACAAGACATTGAAATAAAACCTTCTGCCAAGTTGTCTGACAAGAAAGGTTGCAATGGAATTTCTATGTCGGATACCAATATGCTCCAGAAGTTTTCATGGGATATAAGATATATTCTAACTCTGACTTAGTTCAAACAGTAACATGGGCAAACTATGAATGGTTCGCTTTAAGAAACTCAGTACAACCACAAGCTAGAGAACAAACAGACCAGTATGCAACTATTGAGAAAATAAGAAGACTTGACCCTAACGTTCCAGGAGTTTATGTTAACCTTTCTGGTTCAGATGGAAATGCTGTCACTAAAGTAAAACTGAAACTTAGAGTTCCTTTGTCATCTTTCCTCATCTTCAGGTTTTTAAGATACTTGCCAAACTGGGCAGGAAAAATTTCTATTGAACTTACTCCAAGCAAAAATAACTTAGTCATTGCACCAACACAAGACCCATTCACTCTTACAGAAGTAGTGGGAACAAATAAAATGTCATTCGCCGACTTTTGCAAAGACAAAGTTGACTTAGACTTTGGTTTCTCAAACCTCAACACTGAAGTAAACTACTACTTCAATGCTGCTGGAACTGCTTGGGACCCAGTTAAGTTCACATGCGAAAAATTTGAATGCAGAGAGAATAGAAAGCAGACTTGCAGTCTATATGTTGGACCCAGATATTTCAAATGCTTTAGCTGCCAAATATATTGCAGTTCCACTTATGTTCCCTATACACCAAATATCTGTCAAAGACTTTGCAGGTGAAGTTGGAAACCAAAGTGCTGACCCAGGTGCAAGAACAGATATTGCCTTAACAACTGCAATGAAACATGCAGATACTATGTTTGTACTGTTCAGACGAACTATAAATGACTATTCTTGCTTCTACAACCCTGGTATTAAATACCATATAAACATAGATGGCAAATATTATCCAAGAGAAGAATATTCTACAGTTGAGGATATGAGGTCATACAACTTGACATTAGATGCTATGAACTTTAACAACAACTTCAACAACAACCATTAACCCTGAAATGCAAAGTTCTATTATGCCATATGTGAAAGTATGGACTCATACAGGAGGTCAAAAAACTCAATATACAAATGGAGACCGTTCAAACTTTTGGCTTGGCATTCCATTTGCTGACTCAGAAGACTTTATGGGTGGTATTTCAACTGTTGGTACAGTTCAAATACAATATACTGGTGACAGAGACGGTCCAGATGAATTGAAAGCAAAGAAGTTTACAAAACCAATAGCACTTTTCACGGAAGATGCTCTTTTGAAGATTCGTTCGATGAAACCTGCTGGGGCTCCTCAGATTGGCATAACGACAGCTTCCATCGAGCAGATTTTGGCAGCAGGTCAGTAAGTTGTTCTTGAACTGACTTCTCTCCGTCAATATTGACAGTACGCCAGTTTTGACATAATATTGTATTATAAAACTTACCTTTAGAAATATCTGTAAGTTTTGAAGTTATATTTTTGTCTGCTTCAAGAACTTTCACCATTTCAGTTATACCAACTTTCTTTGCTTTATGAAATATTTAGGTTCAGCAAAGACTGCTATTCTATTTAACATTTTCCATTGTTTGTGTAAAGAACTATTCTGTCAATGTATTTGTATTGTTGTGTGGTGTGTAAACTTTGTTCTGCTTCAATTCGAAGAGATACTCGAATACGTCCATCTTTTTATTCTAAGTAAAATGTCATTTCCGAAAAATAGAAGCGTAAGTGTTTCAAAAGGGTTTAATGGCGGTGGCAGATGTGAAGTTAAATTCACCAACTCAAACAAACAGTCAAAGTGTGTTGTCAATGTCAAAGAAAGAGATGTTGAAATGGGGAAACCATACGAAGACCAAGATGGTATAACAATTGTTCCTGTAAAAGAACAACCAACATATCCTGAAGTTAGCAGAGACTTAAGTTCTGTTGCAGATATTCGAAACGACTACCAACAACTTAAAGACAAACTTAAAACTCAGGAGAGATTTGTCAAGCTTTGGGTATAATGTTAAACTTGGTCGAACACAACCCTGTAAAAGTGAACTCATATGTCATCGCACCTCATGAAGTTTTGAAAGAACTATTGAAACTTTTGACAGAGGCAGACGATATAAACATCAAAGAAATAGAACCGACATTGCTTGCTG